CAGGGAGGTGAAGAAGGAGCAGCACCAGCGGCGCGTGGGCATCTGTCTCGCCGCCGTGCCGGCAACCCGGAAGCACCGCCCGTTGGCATCAGGGAATGGGCCGCGGCCATGGCAAGAAGAGTCGAAACGCAATTTCGCAGGGACTGGACCTTTGGCTTCACCCTCTGGAACTTTCTGTTTCGCACCATGGTGAACCTCCAGAAGAATGCTTACATGTACGCCGTGCCCGATCCAAAAGGCCAAGGCGGCAAGCGCTTGCTTGGCAATGACGAGATCGGCGAAGGCTTCCTCGAGGTCATGGAGCGTCTGCGCAATGGCTTGTACACGGACGTGACCGGCGCGCTGAAGCCCGTGAACGGCGACCTGACGAAGCTGCGGCACGCGCCCGGCTTGACCGCGGCCGCGCAGAAGGCCTTGCGCAACACAGAAGCACGGACGCGCCGCCTGCCAGGCACCCATGAAATTCGCAAGACCATGCGGCACCAGACCAACGCCAACCGAGTTGTCTACGGGACGGCAATCTTCATCACTTTCTCCCCGCGCGAGCAAGACAGCAGCATCATGATGCGCCTCGTCCGTGCCCGCCAATCTGACCCAGCAGTCGTTGAAGACGGTAGTGCCAAGTTTCAGAAAAGGCAAACGCCAGCCCTGGACATTGACTACGTGAACCTGTCGCCCGAGGCCTTGGCAGAGGAGCCCGTTTTGATTTGCCAGGGGGTTGCTTATCTAGGTATAGGGCATTGGTTGAAAGTTTGTAGTTTGCGTAATTTGTGGCTCGCGCTCCTGCCAGGAGCTGCTGCCCTATGACGAGAGGAAGGCGCTGCTTGCCCGGGATCCTTTGGCCTGCGCGGAGGGTTTTCAAACCTTGGTGCTGCTGGCGCTCCGGCACCTCTTTGGCATCCGCTACTGCCGCAACTGCCCCAACTGCGCTCAGTCTGACAAACCCTGCATGGATGCCTTTGGCAGCAATGCCGTGGCAATGGGCGGCGTCTTTGGCCGCGTGGACGCTATCTACGGCTCCCTCGAATGTCAGAAAAGCGGCGCCGAGCACATCCACCTGCAAGCCTTCGTGCAATGCTTCCACCAATTTTTCTCGCTGTCAGAGCTGCAGGGCTTGAAGGAGCAACGGTTCCTGGAGATGCTCCGCCGCTGCACCAGCTATTCGGGCTACGTCCAGCGGAAGATCTACTGCAACAAAGAAGCCTGGGAAGAAGAGCGGGATGAAGTAGAGGCTGCCTGGCCAGAGTTCAAAGACTGCATGCTCATGAGCAGTCGGCCGGCCTAGCAGCTGGATGAGGGCATGGAGCCCGCAGTATGGCGAGCAACCTACTTGGCCAAAGACGTGGAGGCATTGCAGAAGCGAAAGCAACATCATGTGCATTTACCAGGGCCCGATGGCACGCGACTCCCATTGAAGCATTGCCAAGATGCCAAGGATCCCACCAAATGCAAGAGCGGCTTTCCCCGAACACCTTGGCTGACCGACGCGCCTTTTGTGGTGTGCCCCGGACTCGCAGAAGAGAAAGAGATGCCACACAGGGGCAAGCGCAGCATGGTCGGATTGCCTTGGGGGCCCTGCAACGAGCCCAACCTCAACGGCACCCATCCAGCCCTCTTGGCAGCACTTCGGTGCAATAGCGATGTCCAGCCGCCCTATCGGTTCCCGATGACACCCTTGAGCCACAGCAGCGATCTTTGCCAAGGAGGGTGTGAGAAGGTGCCAATTCGGACGCTGATATGGGATGCCCAAGTTACCCAAGCAGCGCAGGCAGGCTATGCGGCGGACTACCAGAACAAGCGCTTGCCAGTGGCTGTTCATGAGTGCAAAGAGTGGATGAAGGCCCAGAAGAATTTGATCGAAGAGCTTCAGGACAACAAGCCGGGCTATGTGGGAGCGCGGCTGGGCAAGCGCCTCATCACAGACTGCTATGCACGAGGCGTTTGCCGTGGGGCCGTGGAGTGCACCAGCCTGGTCACGCACGCCGAGCAGTACGAGAAGGACTCCACCTGCGCAGAGAGCGTCAAGACGGCCCCGGTGACGGACATGAGCTTGTTCTACGGCCTGCGGCTACTGGAGGCAGCAGCCACAAAAGAGCCTTGGCCTCGCGAGCCTCGCCGCCTACAGCCAGACACCCGCAATCGCACGCAGAAGAAGTTGACGGACTGCCCTTTCTGGACCGCGTGCGGAGGCAGAGGCCGCGCTGCGGAGGCCACCTGGGTACTGAGGCAAAAGCTTTCATTTTGTTTTGGGCTTTTTATAATTCTCAACCCCAACTAGTATAATGCATATAAGATCACGGCCTTGCATCCCCATCCACCCGCAATGTGCTGCAGGTGCACGCGCTCTCCGCCTATGAGTTTGCTCGCCACTATCGCTTCAAGCTGGCCACGCATCCCCAGAGCGAGCAGGCGCACCGCAACCACATCAACAAGCCCGAGCTCTACCACGCCAAGCTCACCGAGCATGGGGTCAAGAAGGTGGCGGCAGCCGGGCGGTGTCCGGCCCTCATTGCCGGTGAAGATTACCAGATCAGAGAGGTCGTGGGCGCAGAGTGGCATTCCTTGGGCCAAGGGGAATTTGTGGACCCAGCGTACCGCCACGACTGGGTGATCGTGCCCCGGAAACGGCCAGACGTACCGGTGCCATATGGAGCGCAGGGCAGCAAAACGGAAGAGGAGCAGGCCATGAAGCTTCTGCTGCTGTTCTTTCCATGGGTCAACGATGTGAGAGATGCTACCGCTGCCGTCCCCTTCATTGGCCACTTCTGGGTTAAAGGCGGCAAAAGCTGGAGAGAAGCCTTGCGCAAGCGAACCTTCGCCTATGGCTTCCCCACCGACGAAGTCAAACGCTTCGTCCTGAACTTTTGCATCGTGCATTTCTTGGCCCGCGACCTGCAGCTCCAGGACGGCCTGTATCCCAACAGCGACGATGAGGACGTGGCGGACGACTTGGACCTGGCGCTGGACGAAGATGACCTCGTCCTCGCCACCCTGACGCACGTCCGGGGAGGCGGCAAAGCACACGGCAGCCAGGAAGATGAGCCGATCGTTGAGGAGGAGGAGGAGGAGGAAAACGGCGAGGCAGGAGTGCAGAACAAGTGCTCCACGCTGTTTGAGCTCGCCATGCAGATGTTCCAACTTTCGAGCTCGATCT